GTAGAACAGCTATAAAGAAACCAGATAAAATTCTGAAATGTAGCACTAAATATCAAAGTTAAAATCATCCAGGCCATACATAGTGTTTCTGATTTCGATATCTAGCTGTGAAAGCTGGACAATGAAGAAAGCTGACAGGAAGAGAATCACCTCATTTGAAACATGGTGCAGGAGGAAACTTCTGTGGATACAGTGGAAAACCAAGCCTGAGCTCCCATTAGAAGCCAAAATGATAAAACTGAGGCTGCCATATTTCAGACATATCCTAGGACAAAATGAGTAATTTAAAAAGATGATAATTCTGAGATAAGTAGAAGGAAGTAGGAAAAGAGGAAGACCATATTACAAATGGATTGATTCAATCAAAGAAGATCCAGTCTTGAATTTGCAATATCTGAGAAGGGTCATTGATGACCAGAGCTTTTCGCTATCTTGAGTCCCTCTATTGGGAGAAAGGCAGGATATAAGAAAATCATCATCATCATCATCATCATCATCATCATCATCATCTCATGGTGGCCTCTCATTCATTTAGGGTTGCCATAAGCTGAAGCCTATTTGACAGTAAACAACAACACAATAACAACTAATATTTTGGGTGGCTTCATGTTATATCACCCTAAATCAAAACCTATCTGATAGTAAACATAACAAGAATTACACGGTTTGGAGCTTCTCTGTGGCATGGCACAGGGCCATTAAAGCAAAACTCTTAAGGTTACCTGTAGGTAAGAGATCCCATCTGGAATAAATAGTGCACCATAAGCTATAGTGAGAGCCAGCTTGGTGTAGTGGTTTAAATGTAGGACTGGGATTCTGGGAGTTGCTGTGTGTCTTCAAATTGTTTCCGACTTATGGTGACCCTAAGGCAAACCTATTACAGGGTTTTCTTGGCAAGATTTGTTCAGATGGGGTTTGCCTTTTTCTTCCTCTGAGACTAGGGTTCAAATTACTGCTTGGCCGTGGAATCCTACAGGGTGACCTTGGACAAGTCATATACTCTCAGCCCTCAGAGGAAGGCAAAAGTAAACCCCGTCTGGACAAATCTTGCCAAGCTACAACTTCTCCTTTTCCTTAGTACTTACACCTTAAAGATCTGCTATCTTATTGATGCAGGTAGACCTTATATAGTGCAGATCACAACTATTACATGCACAGTGGTTGTGTCCATACATCACCTGGTGGCCTTCCGTTAGTGCTACTGCTATTGCTGTTGCTATTGCTGTAGTTGTTATATTTATATATTCTGCCTTCCCCAAAAATTGGGACTCAATGTGGCTTATTTATTATAATTTTTTACACTACCGCTTGTGTTTAGAGTGCTTGCTGAAATTAATGCAGACCTGGGTCCAAAAACACACTGAGAGATAATTCAGTTTCAGACCACTTTAACTACTCTGGCTCAATGCTAGGGAATTCTGGGAACTGTAGTTTTGTGAGTCATTTAGCCTTCTCTGTTGAGGAGCTCTGGTGCCACAATAGACTACAATTCCCAGGAGTCCCAAGCATTGAGTCAGGGCAGTTAAAGTGGTCTCAAACTGGATTATTTCTGCAGTGTGTTTTGCACCATGGTCTACAGTCCAGTGTGGTGTTGCAGGGTCTTTCAGTAAACTAAGAAGCTCACTCTGTGCTCAGATTTCTTGTTGGAGATTCATGTGTGTGTGAGTACAGTAGATACCTTCAAGTCACCCACTGACTTACAGGACCCCAAGATTTCATGGGGGTTTCCTAGGCAAGGAATACTTTACCAGTTTGTCTCTTCTTCTGAAATATAGCATCAGATATTCGTTGCTGGTGTCCCATCCAAGTACTATCCAGGACTGACCCTGCTTAGCTTCCAAATCAGCTGGGATCTGGTATTTAGGCAGCTTGGAGATTCTTTTACCACCATAATCTTGGAGCCTTCAATTTGGCACATGGTATTATGTTGCCACCTAGTGCCTAGTTAATATTACTAGTTCCCTTGGACTCCCTTGGGTATAGCCCTGACATACAGCATCTGGCTAGAGACCACAATTTCTTTTAAGAGGGTTCAGTGTGGCATGATGAAGGGATAATTTTGTGCAGTTTGCACATCGATTTCTTTTGTCCTGCTGGCTTTCAACACTGCAGTGCTTGCAAACAGAGATAATAATGGGGAAAGCATGCACACCACAGGCAGTGATGCCTTTTATGTCTTGTCCCCTTCATTTTATTGTCTGTCTCCTACTTCTGTTGCCAACAAGACAGTCTTTTTGTTTGTCGTTATGTGCTTTCAAGACCTATGGCAACCCACCCATGGGGTTTTCTTGGCAAGAAATATTCCGAGGAGGTCTGCCTTTGCCTTCCTCTAAGCAAGAGCTAGTGTGACTTGCCCACTTGAGTTCTACAGCTGAGTTGGGATCTGAATCCTAGCCTTGCAGAGTCCTGGTCCAGCACTGAAACCACTACATCATATTGGCATGTTTTTGAGCTAGCTAAATTTCATGCAATCCATGACCATTGCTACCACAACTAACCATTAACATTTACACTGCATTGCACATTTTAGTCTAGCAGGGACCCTGCTTTCAGGTTGTTTGCAGGCTTCTTTGAATCTTGCTGAACTTGATCCCTGAGGAAGTCAGGATGGCTTCACTTCTGGTAGGCAGTCAAGATTGCACTGTTGTTGTTGTTGTTGTTGTTGTTGTTTTATGGTCTTTGGTCCTTAAAACCAGGATTGACATTTGGGACTGTTTCAACTGTGTGTGTGTTTTTAAAACTTTTTTTTTTTAAAAAATAGTCTTTCAGATGTTTTAAAATAATATTTTAATCTGTTGTTTTTATCATGTTAGGACCTGAACAGGTTAAGGTGATAAACAAATACTTTAATTTTTTAAAAAACCTTTAAAAAAGCCAAGGTGATAAGCAATGTGTGTGTGTGTGTGTGTGTGTGTGTATAGGCTTTAGCAAGAGTCTTGAGCAGAAAAGTTTGGTCTGATGATGGTCTACCTATGAGAAGATCCTCTTTGAGGGCCAGGGAGGAGTGCCTGGAGAAAAAGACAAGATGGTACCAATGAGACAGACAGAAAGACAGACTCTATGTATAGAAGCACTTTTGATAGGCAGTTAAATGATCACATCAATACTGATGATAGGACAATGTCCTCCACCACATCTGAGGAAACAGGCTGGGAGGTGGGGGAGACATATGGCAGTATAGCAGGTCTTTCCTCCAAAACAGAAGAATGGCTCTGATGTGCCTCACCTGCTCTGACCCTGAACTGTCTAATGGCTGGGTCAAACCTGAGGAAGACTGTGCCAAAAATACCAAAGTGACTCAGCTTGTAGAGAGGACTAAGACCGATTATAGCGGGCCCTTCGTATCTGCTGAGGTTTGGTTCCAAGGCCCTTTGTGGATACCAAAACCCATGGATGCTTGAGTCCCATTATGTGCAATGGTGGAGTAAAATGCTTTGGGGAATTTGTTTTTGGTGAATATTTTCCAACCATGGTTTGCTGAATCTGTGCATGCAGAATCCATGGATCCATGGATATGGAGAGCTGTATTTCCCCATTTCAGTCTTGGATTTTTTGCAAGGCTATTGTAGTATCCTTCTATGTATCAGTTGCAAGGGAACATTAAACAGAGGGTCCACATATGCTCAAGTTCTTATGTGAAGCTTTCCATTTCACTATGTAAACAGGTTTATTTGTTCACGTCCCATTCCCCCCGCCCCCATGGCACTGATCCAGCATGGCACTTATTTTCCCATGGTTCTGCCTTGCTTCAGCTGATGTTCTAGTGGCATGTATGTTTCTTCCTAAAAGAAACCACTGCAGAACAGAGGCTCTGCCAGTCTAAAGGGATTTTGGTCACCATTCACCACTCTATTTGCTGTGCTGTTGAAGGGCACATAGCATTTGGTATTCTCTGCTCTTAACCATATGTTGGCACTTTCTCATTGTTGTGTGCCTTTGAGTCATTTCTGACTTATGGTGAAGCTAAGGCGAACCTATCATGGGGTTTTCTTAGCAAGTTATGTTCAGAGATTTGTTTTTGCCTTCCACTGAGGCTGAGGAAGTATGACATGCTCAAGATCACCCAGTGGGTTTCCATGGCTAAGTGTGGATTCGAACCCTGGTCTTGAATCATAATACAATGCCAAAACACTACAGCGCACCAGGTCTTTCATGCAGATACTAGTGAGATTTTTTTTTAAAAGGCAAGGCTGGCATCCCTTCATTTTGTAAGAAGTCTTCAAGTGGGTTTCCATTTTCCATATTTTTGCTTACTTATGTGAGGTTTACCTGACTTGGTTGTTTAATTTCAGCTGTGCACATTGTAAGTTTTGAGTAAAAAAATTGCTGAAACATGTTCTTCTCTTTTGTGGTATGGGAAGCTATCCCTATTCTTTCCATATTATTCTACCTCTGGTACCAACTTTTCTGTTAAAGAAGGAATGCCTGGGAACATATCTACTTTGTTAGCTGAGATATACCTGTATTCCAGTCCTTTCACATACCATGTTTTGCTGTCTTGCTCCTTTTGTTCCCTTCCCATATTGATGTTTGTTGGCATTGGGTGTTGTTGTTGTGTTTGTTGTCCCATTATCAAAATCCTGCCTATGCTCAATTCCTGGCTACATTTGTCAACCATGTTTCTGGGCAATATGCACATACACAGCCCTTCATGCTATGGAAGTTATGAAGTCGAAGCAGCAACATCTCTTGGTTGTTCCCTGTATCACCCTTTCATTTGTTCATCCTTAAAATGGATGCTAGTTCTGACTATGTTCTGAGAAGAAGTCATAGAATTGAGCAGTCGAGCCACTGTAAGAGGAAGAATTATGTACTTTGGGATAAGAAACAAGAGGTACTGTAAAGTCAAAATTAATATAAAGGCCATCCAAATATTGTCATAGTTCAAAATGGCAGCCATGGTAGTCAGTTTACTAACAAATCAGTAGGGAACAATTACAAATAATGTAGTATTTCCAGTTCTATACACTTTCTTTATACATGAGTAAAGAACACTTAGAGCCAGTGTGGCAAAGTGGTTTGAGTACTAGACTATGACTTTGGAGTTCAGGGTTCAAATTTCCACTTTGGGATTTGTGATTGATTAGACTAGGGTTCAATTCCCAGCTTGGCCATGGAAATCCACTGGGTGACCTTGGGTAAGTCACACTCTCTTAGCTTCATGGGAAGCAAAGGCAACCCTCCTCTGAACAAATCTTGTCAAGAAAACCTTGTGATATAGCAATCCTAAGGTGAAGCTGTCAGAAACAACTTGAAGCCACACAACAATAAAGAACACTAACCAGATAGTAATTAAATGTGTAAGATTATGTAAAAGATTATATATGATTCCATTTTAATTATACAAGATATTAAGAAGGTTAACACTAAAGGTAATGGTAAAGGAAACCATTTGGAACCAAATTTTATTTCCAAGTTTTTACATTGCTTTTGTTTATACAAATATCACTTTGGATTGGAGTCATCACCTTTTATGTCATGTTTTCACTACAGCTTACATTGGGAACAAGTTCACCAAAAACTCCTGCCAATAACATCTCCAGCCCTCCAGGTGACTAGGTAAGCACTAGCCCAGTTGGGGTCAACTGCAAAAGAAGTTGACATAGAACCATAGAATTACAGAGCTGGAATGCAGACACAAAGGCAGTAGAGAGGCAAAAGGAATTTCTAGCCATAGGGATGATGGGAAAGACAGTGCTCATGAGGGAAGCTGCAACAGCAGGGCACTGAGGCTTTGACCTCACTTATCTACTTCATCCAAACTGGTTGCCCCATAAAAGGGGATCCTTATTCAGAAACTCATCTTGTTTGAACCAACCAAGTCCAACAAGTAGTATGCTGAGCTTTTACTTGCAAAACTAATCCATGAATTCCTCTTAATAGCAATTAAATCTTGCTTGCAGTGTTTGCTTCTCCATCACAGCTCACATCTCTCCAACTGCCCAACATTACTGCTGCAGCCACCTGCCTGAATGGGAGGATCTCATTTCTAAACATCACTTTTCACTAGGATCCATCTTCCCTTTAGATATGGTTTCTACTGTGGTCTCCTTGGAGGCAGGATGACTATGAAGTTCAGCACATGAGGCTGTTGCCTTTTCTACTTGAAGGCTTTTGTGCGGCTGTTGGACTGAGCCAGGTGTCTGGCCTGAAGTAGGAGACAAGGAAAGAAAGGTCAAAGGGAATTCCACACAGGCTTCCTCCTCTAGCAGGAGTGGAGAACATGTGGCCCTCCAGATATTGTTGGACTGCAACACCTACCAGCACTAGCCAAAGGATGATATGCATTACAGTTTTTCCTTATTTGGAAGACCATACTTTTTCCATCAAGAATACTTCTAACAGCTATATTCTCCACATTAAGCTATCTTCAGCAGCCCTCCCAACAAACAAACCTTCTCTGCTCACACTGTTGCTCTCTTTCATCTTCCTCTAGGCCTGTGATTCCCAAACTTTGGTCCTCCAGATGTTTTGGACTTTAACTTCCAGAATTACTGACTACTGGCCAAGATCGATGGGGCTTCTGGGAGCTGAAGTCCAAAATGCTGCTCTAGGCTTTCACAATGGTGGCCTACCACAGGCTCCCTTAATCTCTACACGTCATTCCCCAGCCCTTATTTTTAGAATGGAAACTCTGCTCTTCGTTTAATCAGCTTGCAGTCTAACACAAATACCGTATTTTCCGGCGTATAAGACGACCCGCGTATAAGACGATACCCTCATTTTTTCGGTCAAAATATAGAGTTTTAGCACCTCTATCCTCATTATCCTTATATCCAGCGTATAAGACGACCCCCCCACTTTAGCCACAGATTTTGCAGGTAAAAAAGTAGTCTTATATGCAGGAAAATAAGGTATTAGCATATGATGTATCTAGAAATGTAGACTTTCCAGAAATTTTGAAGCCATGGAGCAATTAAAAACCCCCACTCCATTTTCCTCTGGGAAAAAAAACATAATTTTTTGGAATAATTAAAAAATACATGACTAGCGCCATTTAGAGACTGAAACACAGATTGTTATTTCAGGAACAAAATGCATTATATATAAACTGATTTGGCATAAACTTACTATGGAGTTTATCATACAGGGGACAATAGGAAGTATAAACGGTGATTAACCCATGATAATTCCGCAATTTCGTTAATGGTTTTCACACAATGATGTGTTCAAAGTGCTATTATCCCATGAATAATCTGTGATAATCCTGCAATTGCACTAATGGTTTTCACATGACATCGAGATGAAATGTGGTTAAAGTGCCATTATCCTGTGAATAACCAGGCAAGAAATAGCAGCAAATCCTCCAGGAAAATTCAGTGAATGACTTTTTGCTGTTTATTGCCTGGTTATTCCCTGGTTATTCATGGGATAATGACTCTTGTATTAATCTAATTTTTGTTGTTGTTGTTGTTAACTGCCTTCGCATCAATCTCGACCC